TCAACCCCATCAGAGCATTCCAACTTATGCTAAACAGCCTGCTCGTTCAAATCCTAGATCTAAATCTAGTAATAATTATCAAAAATGTCATCGATGCAAAGGTCCCCATGCATCTCATCGGTGCAAGTTCAAGTCTGCAACTTGTTATAAGTGCGGTAAGCAAGGTCACATTGCTAAGGCCTGCTTTGCAAAGTCTTCGTCTGTTGCTAAATCTAGCCAGTCAAGACAGTACCGCAACCAAAAGCAGCACTATGTTAACTCTCACCAAGACTACCTAACCCAACCAATGAACCACTCTACCTGTGAAAATGCTCAAATTGATTTGCAGCCGGATTTCAACCTGTTCTCTGTTAAATCAATAAGTCATGCTCCCATCAATGTACAAGTTAATATCAACGGTAAGAGCATCAGCTTCCAACTTGACACTGGAGCATCTCTAACAGTCATAACAAAGAAAGATTTTGACGCTGTCACAGGAGGATCAGTGTCTCTACAGCCGTGTCACAAGTGTTTAACAACATACACTGGTGACAATGTTCCGGTAATAGGAGAGTGTATGGTTCATGTAAGTTATAATGGTCAAAGTGTTAAACTTCCTCTTCTTGTGGTTGAAGGAAATGGACCGCCATTACTAGGTAGGAACTGGTTAAGTGATCTTAAGTTAAATTGGGAGAGTATTTGTTCATTGAAGAATGTAAAAGAATCTAGTCTTACTTCACTAGATAAAGTTATATCTGAAAATAAATGTGTTTTTGGTAACTCTGGATTACTAAATGATAGAACAGTGAAGTTAAGCATTAAAGATACAAATCCAAGATACTGCAAAGCTAGAGTTCCACCTTATGCAATGAGGAATAAAATTGAAAATGAGCTAAGTAGATTGGAATCTAATGGCATTATAAAGAAGGTAGACTATTCCGATTGGGCGACACCCATTGTGCCAGTGTTAAAGAAGGATGGTTCTATAAGAATTTGTGGAGATTATAAAACTACACTGAATAAGCAAATAGAGCTAAATAGGTACCCTATACCTAACATTGAGGAAATTTCTTTGAATTTGGCAGGAGGAGACAAATTCACTGAATTAGACTTTAGTCATGCTTACACTCAACTAGAACTGCATCCAGATTCAAAAGTCTATACGACAATAAACACTCATAAAGGACTCTACCAATATGAAAGACTATGTTTTGGCATATCATCTAGCCCTGGAATTTTCCAAGCTGTCATGGACAGTATTTTTAAGGATATTCCAAATGTTTGTGTGTACTTTGACAATGTGTACATAACTGGTAAGAATGACACTGAACATCTTAAAACACTTGATAAAGTCTTGAAAATTATTGGTGAAAAAGGTTTAAAGATAAACATAGATAAATGTCAATTCATGCTGACAGAAATTAGTTTTCTTGGTTATATATTAAGCAAGCAAGGCATCAGACCTCAACCTGAGAAAACAAAAGCCATTAAAGAAGCACCCAAACCTGAAAATACTCAACAACTAAGAGCTTTTTTGGGCTTGATAAATTACTATGCAAAGTTCATAGGAAATCTGTCTGGTAAACTATCACCACTGTACAAGCTGCTACAGAAAAATGCAACTTGGCACTGGGGTAAACAACAAGAAGCTGCTTTTAATACAGCAAAAGAGGCTTTGTCTGCTGACACCTTACTAACTCACTATGACCCAGGGAAAAGACTTATATTAACATGTGATGCTTCACCAGATGGTGTAGGAGCAGTCTTGTCCCACATGGATGAGAAGGGTGACAGACCCATTGCTTTTGCCAATAGATCTTTGAACCAGGCTGAGAAAAATTATTCTCAGTTAGATAGGGAAGGCTTAGGCATCATTTTTGGTGTTAAGAAATTTCATAAGTTTCCGTTTGGTAGGAAGTTCACCATCTTTACAGATCATAAACCATTGCTAGGTTTATTTGGAGAAAACAAAACCCTACCTGAGCATGCCTCACCAAGAATTCAAAGATGGACTATCACACTAACTGCATACAATTATGAATTGAAATACAAACCTGGATCTGAGAATAGTGCAGATAGTCTTAGTAGATTACCTTTAAAAAACCAAAGCCTGAGCTATGTACCAGAAGATGTATTTGTTCTCTTCACTATCATGGATAACTCCAATATAAATGTGAATGATATTAAAAGAGAAACACAAAAAGATGAGTGCTTAATAAAAGTATATGAGTACTGTAAGAATGGTTGGCCTGAAGAGTCTGTGAATGATGACTTAAGGCCATATTAAATAAGAAATAAAAACCTTTGTGAAGATAATATAAAAGATGGAGAAGATGCAGTCCATTATCAGTCAGAGTTGCCTAAACAAAGTATTTGTAACTTAATAAATGATTATGGTGATATGGCAATTTCAAATGTTTTAAAGAAAATACATTAGTAAGAAGGAACGTGATCATCAAACAACTTTGCTAACATCATTAGCACTTACAGAAACTAAAAGGGTAACATCAAAAGAAAAGAAAAAAAGATTTTTGCCATTTAATACACCCACTTCAAATACTGGATCACAGTTGCAAAGTGATATTGTCCAGGATATTACTTTTAAACAGTATTTTTGGTTACCAAAAAGCACTATCAGATTACCTGAGGAAATTGATCAATCAAAGAAATCTATGTCAGTCAAGGATCTGAATAACAGCATAATACTTCCAGATGCCAATTCAAAAATAGTTCCATTAAATCATGACAAATCATCCATTGAAAGAGAATTTGGTGTTAATAAGAATGTGTATCTAAGAAGTTATGGGAGAAAGGAAAAATGGATACCAGGTCAAATTGTTCAATGTACAGGACCTGTGCCTTATAAAGTTAAAAATAACTTGTGCAGATAATAAGTGTGAATCTGTCAATCCCACCAAATCTGAACAGTTCACACCAACTCAGTTTGTTTCACAACCAAGTTCTGTTGATATGAGTGAACCAAGTTGTCTGGAGTCAGAAAATGTAAATTCTGGAGTTAATGATTTAAATCCTAGACCTCCTGAGATAGAGAATCCAGATGGTCAGAATCTTGAGTCACCAAATCAGAAGCCACTGAGAAGGTCAAGCAGGACAATCAAAGTCCCAAATAAGTTAGACCTATGATTCTAAAGGTCAAAAGGACTTTGACATTATTGTTTTGTATTTTGATTATGTTGTAGCATATTGTGCATTGTTTGTAAGGATGTAATCTACCATAGTGTTCATGTTACAATATAATTGGTGATTTTAGGATACTATCAATTGTTCTATTGAGAGATGTGTTATTGTGTTCTAAGGGTAAAGGGATGTAATAGATTGAAATAATTGTGAGGTCAAGGGAACTCACTCTTCTGTATTAGTTATATTTATAATATTGTTATCTTGAGTGATGTCCCTTGTGTACTTCCTTCCGTCCTCTCTGTGTGTTACCATCGTGGGGTAGTTAGACCCAATTAAATGTGTTATATACAACCACAGGCTTCTGTCGTCAATCTATTATAGTAACATATTGTGCATTGTTTGTAAGGATGTAATCTACCATAGTGTTCATGTTACAATATAATTGGTGATTTTAGGATTCTGTAAATTGTTCTATTGAGAGATGTGTTGTGTTTACTAAGGGTAAAGGGATGTAATATAGTGAGACTTGTGAAGTCAAGGGAACTCACTCTTCTGTATTAGTATTATATTTATACTGTTATCTTGAGTGATGTCCCTTACATGTTTATGTGTATTTTGTGTCTCTCGTCACTTCCGTCCTCTCTCGTACCATCATGTAGTTAGACCCAATAAACGTTTTATATACAACCACATGCTTCTTTCGTCAATCCATTACAGATAGTATGGTCAGCACTATGCCCAGCTGGCTTTACTTTCCCTAATGTGAGTTAGGTACCCATCAGAGTTGGTTGGATGGTCTACCAACATGAACCTGGATTCGAACTCGAGTCCAGCTCTCAACCGCGCTTTTTAGTGCACATATTAAAAACTCATATTTATAAATGTTTCTATTTATGGTTTTTAAACTTTAGCCACATTACTGGCATTTTCAATATTTGAATGAATAACAAGACGAACATATACATAAGTATTGTTAATTGTTAACCCATGTTAAATAGAACACTGAGACCTAAATTTCAAGATGAGTGAGGAGAGACACCAGACGCTATTGCATGACCAAAGGATTTTAAACTTTATCTCATTGATAAGAACATTGCTCAGCAAACAAAATGACTTCTAGATGAATATTTATAATTCTCTTAGTAATTTTTGGGATTTCATTCATCAACTGGCAATAATATATTGTTAATTAATCATAAAACGATTAAAAAATGAAGTCAATATCAAGTGATAATTTTTAAATTAGAGCATCTTATAAGATTTTTTACAGCAATTTTTTGGACCACCAACGGCTGAAGTGGTGTTAACCACTGCTGTAGGTTTAGTGAGTAAATGATTGTGACAACTTCCTTTTTTACTGATGCCCCTTCTTGTTTGAATCAAATTAAACCAGTTTCAAACCACTGTCTAATGCAAAATAAAAATATAAGAAAAAGTTCATCATTTTTATTTTATTTTTAATACAATTGGGTCAAAGGAAATACTTTAAAAAAGTAATACTGAATGAATACATTATGTGGCTTTAATCGTTAGACTAACCAAGTTTTAGTTATCCTAGATTTAAAAATTTAGCAATTTAGTGCATCAACTGTTCTTTGTGAGAGGATCCTTCTCACCAATAAAATGCATCTGCTAATTTAGAACATCAATTGCTCAAATCCAATATGCCTGTATAGATATCAAATTTCACACAAAAATATTGCATTGCTATTATCTGAACACAACTTTAAGTAAAAAACTTAAATTGCAAAAGTGAAATTGAATTTGTTTGCAAGTTTTAGGGGATATCATAAAGATAAAAGAAAAAAGTGAAACAGTGTTTTAATTAAAAAATGTAAATTGGTAACATCCCAAGTTTATATTTAACAAACAAACAATAAAAGTATTTGAGAGAAACCTGCATTTTAAAAAAGAAGAGTGGAAAAAAGGACAACAGATCAAGTATTTATTATGAAAAATTGATATCTTTTTCACTGGTGGACAAAATGAACTAAATTTTTATAAAATTGTATAAAACTGCTCAATAAAAATATAAGTTCTAGAGTCGCTTAGATGAATCAACAAAAAGGAGAGCACTAGAATCAAAATTGATGCCTGATTTCATTTTATCGTTACTGCTATCAAATGCCAACAGGGGTGTGTTTGGTTTTCCATAAAGCTGTTGCTCAACTTTGTGTAATCTTTTGTTATCTCTACTGTCTAAGGGGCTTGCACTTGCAGGTTTGGTAGCAGTATCTTCCTTTACTTTATTTGATGTAAACTCAGCACTTCTAACTCGTGTTTCATTTGAAAATAGATTATTTGGTGGACTAGTATTAACATCCCAGTCTGAGTCAGAGTCTGATAATACACTAGGTTGTCTTTCATAGCTTGGATAAGTTGGACAAATGTTTTGTTTGTTAGTCTTTTTGTCACACACAAATGGTTTATCTTCAACATTTTTCAGTCTTTTTTTTTCTAAACTGCTTTGAGAAGAGACTGACTCTTTGTGTGAAAAAATACCATTTGTTACACTTTGTATAGCTTTGTAGGTGTCAGATTTGTGAGAATCTGTAGTCTTTGATTGTTTACCAAGAGCCATTTGAAGTTCTTGAATTTTCAAATCTTTTTTAGCAATGCTAAGTTCTAATGCTGTGATCAAGTCATTCTGTTCATTCAGCTGACTAGAAAGCTCTACAATTACTTTTGAGTGATTATTTTCATCAATCTGAACCTTAGAGTGATTATTTTCATCCATTGAAAAATCGCTTAAAGTTTTCAGTTCTCTTCTGTTAGTTGATATCTCTGAAAACTGAGCTGAAAAGACAAAAAGCCATGTTTGAATATTAAGTACAAACTTGTCAGTTGCACTTACATCTATCAATTCTAACCTGAATTATTAGCGTAGATGATATTTTAGATATATAAAATATTTCTTGGAATGATATTTTATAATAATAGTGGAAACAATATGCTTACATTCTTCTTCTTCTAATTCTCTCTGCTGCGCCTTCACCTCCATTTTATTTATAAAGGTTTCTTGACGCATTTCCTGAATTTGTTTTCGAAGCACTCTGACTTGTTTTTTTAGTTTCCTTTGCTGTAATATACACAATTTTGTCTCATGCAATGTAAATATTGTAATATTATAGATCAGCAAAAGAAATTGTTTAAAAGCTTAAAAGATTTTAAGGCAAAGTTGTATTGATTAGGCCTGAATTATTTTTCACCTTTTAATCTGAAGGTAAAAAGCCACTTATAGCTACTTTAATTAATATGCAATTTACCATAGACAGACAGTTTTCAGTTAGAGGGATGATATGTTTAAATGATAGCATAACAAATTTGTTCTAAATTATTGTCAAATTAGTTTTCCTTAAACGATTACACCAAACTGATATTTTTACATTAGTTTACAAAAACATACCATTTTGTTAGAATCATCTACAGCTTTCTGAAGGTCTTTTTCCAATTTTAAAATACACTGGTCTTTAACATGAAGAGACTCATTAAATAAGGCAGGGTAACTATCACTTGACTGGGACCCTTGCACATTTTTTTCTTTACTTCTTTCCTCAAATAGCTGGATTTGATCTAGTAAATCCAACCTTTCACTTTCCACTCTAGCTAACTGTTTAAATAGTTATTTGAAAATCAAGGCGACAATAGTATACATTTTGAACAACATTGTTCTCATAATATTGAAAATATTGATGTAAATAGTTTAAAAATAAAATACAAATGTTGTTATCACCTAGACAACAGAAAGGTAACAAAAGAATTTGCCAAAAAAAATGTATAAAATAAACTGACATGCAATTAAGTTTAAACCACTATAAAACAGCATAAAAAGTAGGCCCAAGTATTTTTTAAAATAATTTTTTGTATGTCTGGCAGTCTGAACTATTTTTCAAAACACAAGCATTTCTTTGATAATTAGCACAAAAAAAAACCTTTAATATTAAGATGAAATAAAAAATATGTAAACATGTATGTTTAGAACGTGTTTATTTTTTTGTCAAAACAAGAGTTTGAAGAATATTGTGGTACTTAAAACCTCAAGAGAAAGTTCCCAGGATTATCTAACAAGTAAGTTGCTTCCATAACACAAAAATGTTTACCTCTTGTTCCAGCTCTTTAAACTTTTTACAGCAGTTTTGACAAGGTTCTTCCTAAAATATATATTTACTGTCAAAGTAAAATTTACAAACTACATAATTTTAACAATCTACTGGGTATTGCTTTGTTTATATGTTACACTAATAGTCATATATGACCATAGGTCCTATCTTCCAATTAAACACAAAAGAAATCACTATAACTGTAAAGCAAAAGGCAAATTAAATAATGGAGATATTTTTTTAATGAAGCACTACAACAGTCACTAGTTGTTTTTTTTTTAATTTTCCAAAATGCTAAACATTATCCTGAATAAATATTTGGCCAAGACAGTGTTTTGCTGTTGCCTTCACTGGTTTTTAAAGAATGGTTGGTTTGTATGGGTGATCTCAAAAATGTTCTGTTTGATACTATATATGCATTTGTAAAAGAGTATGGAAGAAATGAACCACTAAATAAAATAATAAAAAGTAGAAAATAAATTTTTCTTTTGTGCTTCCTCGAGCTGTGCAGGTTCTTGTGATGACTGACAAAAAACGTGGGTACGTTCACCATCAAATTTCCCGACCCACGTTTTTTGTCAGTCATCACAAAAACCTGCACAGCTCGAGGAAGCACAAAAGAAAAATTTATTTTCTACTTTTTAGTCCGCAAGAAAAACGTTGTTTTTTAAAAAGTTTTTTTTAAGTATTTTATTTTCTCCTTTTTAGTCCGTTGCTACACATGAAAAACGTGGTTTTTAAAAAGTTTTTTATATAGTTTATTTTCTACTTTATCTAATGACTTGATTAAGTATGACTTGACTAAGTGTTTATAAATACACGGACTAAAAATCTTGAGCGACCGATACGCTTTAAACAGAGAAAGGGCGTAATTTAAATAAGCCTACATGCCGTGACCAGGATTCGAACCTGGGTTGTCGCGGCCACAACGCGAAGTACTAACCATACGATCACGGCCAGCGCGCTCACATCGATTGGGGCCGAAGTAACTGTGTCAATAGGCCTCCAGTCTTGTCGGTATGTTTAGAAATCATGTCCTCAATTTTATGGTCCTTGGGGCGTAATTTAATTAAGCTAATTTAGGTCTCTAATTGCTAGTTTTTATGATTGCATCTGAAATTGTTAGGCGAAAATAGCATGCATTCCAAATTTCAGATCTCTAGAGCAATCAGAAGTGGGCTAATTTTCGATGTCAATTTTAACAACAAACATCCAAACAACCAAACAACCAAACAAATAAACGCGAAGCTGAGTTAAGAAAAACGTGTTAAAATATTTTGCATACACATTAAAATGTATAACATATTAGCAAAACTGTTTTCAGATACTACTATTTGCAACTTAATTAGAACATTTATTAGATAATGTCTCTTCTTCGACAGTTAGTATAATCTAATCCCTTACTTATACAATGAAGATTTATTTGAAAAATATTTGCATTGAATAAGTTTGCAGCTAAATTTTGTTCTGTATTTATACTAACTGTCAAAGAAGAGACATTATCTAATAAATGTTCTAATTAAGTTGCAAATTTAAAAAAAAATCTAATCCCTTACTAATACAATGAAGATTTATTTGAAAAATATTTGCATTGAATAAGTTTGCAGCTAAATTTTGTTCTGTATTTAAAAAAAAGGCTACTTGAATCTGAAAGTTTCGCTACTTACTTTAATTACAGAAGTATTAGAAAAACTAAATGTGTTTTGAACATCATTATTCTGTAATGGTTTCTCAAAACTAACAACATCTGCTTTAGATTTTCCATTTAAATCCTTCCTGAAAAGTATAAAGTAGTTATAATTAAGATACTAAATTTAAAACCCATGAACAGAGGCGTAGCAAAGGGGGGGGGGGGCATATGGGTTGGAAAAATAAATTGAAAGCTTGAAGGGGGGTGCAAATCAAAAATTTAAGAGGGGGGTGCAAATCGAAAGTTTGTCCCCAGGCGCCGGGAAGGGTCGCTACGCCTCTGCCCATGAACCCACTAAATGAAAGTTGTCACTTGTAATGTTTGAGCTTGTGTCTGTTTATAATTACATTTTTTACATTTTTAATGTTAAAAATACAATAATTGTGGTTCAATAATTATGGCAGACCCATGTAATATATATATATATATATATATATATATATATATATATATATATATATATATATATATATATATATATATATATATATATATATATATATATATATATAAAATAGGCCTACATGAACAAAACCAAAGTATGCTTGATGTACAGTGATACCTTGACATATGAGTTTCCTAAGATATGAGATTTTTTTTAGAAATGAGGGTGTTTAACAATTTGCAGAAAAGAAACACCTAGAAAAAGCTGCAACTGGTTGTGCATCAAAGCTGTTAAACGAAACTTACCTAACTTTCCTGAACATTCTGAAAGGGAGGAAAAAACAAACCTCCTTGGACAGGTTTATTTTAATGGCCTGCATTGAAAAGTGGGGAAGTGAGGAAAGCGTGGTGAAAAAAAGCAAAGACCAGAAAAAAGAAAAGCAGTGATGAAAATCAAATGACAGTAAAAAAACATTATAAGATAGCATTCAGGTTTAAATTTAAATTCTGTTAAGTTTAGTGATAAAGTGTGGGATTAAGAGTGAAATGAGTAAGTAAATGAATGTGATAGAGGGAGATAGGCATTAAAAGTGAGCGAACCAAGTGAAGCTGCCTCCCTTATTTTCTCCACCCAACACTGGGCTTACTCCTCACCAGCATCTTCCATAAGCTCAAGTGAGCTGATTTTCAAGGTAAATACTTTTATAAAACTAGTTTTTTTTCTTTGCATTATCCTTTATTATGTTATTAAACAATATTTTCAAGTATAAATACTTCTCATATAAAAAAGAATACATAAAAAACAAGTGAGGTGGCATTTGGGGGCTGGAAACAATTAGTTTGTTTCGATTAGTTTAAATAAAGATAAATGCTTTGAAATATGAGTAATTTGACATACAAGCAATATTACTGAATGAATTAAACTCTTATCTCGAGGTACCACTTTATATTATTATAGGTTGTTTGTATTATAGTGAAGTAAGTATATAGACCAAAAGTAATTATTTTTAATATCCTGGAGAGTCAAGCCATTAGAAAAATAATATGACATGTACATGACATACTTAAGGATATTTTTTTCTAGTATCACTATCCTAATATCAGCAATGCTCGCTTGGAAACAACCTCAATATAGTTGTGTGTTGTCTTGGGGGTCATCCATAAATGACGTCACGCTTTTTTTGACGAGTTGTACCTCCCCCTCCCCTCAGTCACACGTCGTCAAAAACAGCCAGACCCCCCCCCCCCCCCTCAAATTTTTTTTTAAACTGCTATATTTTTCCAAAATCTTGTCTGAACTCTGTCAAAATAGAGTATTTTAATCAATTGTTATTACAATATATTAAAACACTTTTCTAAAACGCAAAATAACATCTAAAATTCGTTTTCTAACTGCTTTTTTATAATGCAAAAGTGTGATGTTGCACCATCTGAACCCCCCCCCCTCCCCTTCATCACACACCATCACAAAATTACGGACCCCCCCTCCCCCCTAGGAGTGTGACGTCATTTATGGACGACCCCTTGTCATAACAAGCAAATTGGCAAAGGTGCAAAGAGTTTTAAAAATATTTTTACTTTTTCAAAATTATATTTTATTTTAATCATTTTAATTTTAAATAATTAACTATTATAACAGTTTTGATTTTGCTATTATATTATAACTATTCCATAAATGTATTTAATGATGTAATACACTTTTTATTAAATTGATTAAACCTTTTGAACAAGAAATTCACACACACAAAAAAAGAAAAACAACCAAAGGCTAATAGGTCATCCATAAATAACGGAATTTTGTGACAATGTGTGATGAGGGGGAGGGGGAATGCAGATAGTGTAATGTCAGACTTTTGCACTTTAAAAAAAGTAGTGTTAGAAACTGAAGTGTAGCAGTTATTTCGTATTTTAAAAAAAAACTGTTTTTGTAAGTTGTAATTTAATCGAGCTCATTCAATATTTTTAATTAATGTTTTAAAAAACTTCAACTTTGAGGGATGAAGTGTGAGAGATCACAAGCCAAGTGCTTGCCATGTAGTTTTTTTTCACAATGAAGACTTCATTATAAAGGATAGGTCCACAGTCACTTTGGAATTTTTTTCTGGTAATATATTAGGCCTATCAGTATCAGATATTCTAAATTGACTTTATTGACTATTGAATAGTGGATTGTTCATACTTTTTAAAAAAAGATAAGTAATTTTGATATTCTCTTTAAAATGCCTATTTATTTTGCAATGTCCAATATAATGCATGGCTTAAATTTAAGAAGAGACAGGCGTTGTAGATTAGAAAAATCATTATATTGATGCATAACTTTACTCTAAACCCTTCCATATCATATGCATCTGAAACCACTCAATATTTTATTAGAGTTGAGGTGAATAGTCATTAACATTAATAATTTAATTATTTTAATTTAAATGGACCTATTAATAATTAATTAATTATTATTCCAACCTGCTTTTTGGTTGAGAGATGTGACTTCCTTGCTCGATTGTGATATTGGAACAAGACGACTCTGCTGTATTAATTTGATTACTAGAACCAGAACCCATTGTTTATGCATAAAATTACTAAACTTTATTCAGAAGCTCAATCCCCGTTCTGTCTCATAACAGTTATTGTAATATCTTTAACTTTGTATAAGGTAGTACGGTTGCCATTTTGAAACATAAGCGTTTCCTAGCCAACCTTTAAAAAATGTAACTTGTTTTTAAATTTACAAAACAATTACCAAATTATTATTTAGCCTAAAAATTATTTAAAAAAAAAAATGAAATACTAAAAAATACATAGATCTGGAATCTATTAACAACGGAATTTTTTTGTAAAATAATTCTACTCCATGTTTAAAAACTACCAGATCTATATAGTATATACGGACAAGATTTCGTTTCGTTCGTTCGTGAGTAAACAATTGAGTGGTAAACGAAACAAAACGATAGAGACTAGCTAGATCTAGGAACAACCGGGAAGTTTAACACAAATCACTGGTCATAATCATATATTAAATATTGACTATTGACATTATTATTCTAGATTCAAGTCCTAAAACACTGAATCTGTCTAGATGTTGAGCAGACTAATGGATCAAAAATAAATAAAATCAAACAAGATCTAATCTACTAGTAATCTAGATTTAGATCTAGATCTAGATCTAGATCTCTGCTACACAGATCTAAAATAATCTAAATGACAAATCACGTAAAATGTTCATCATTCATGAGTAAAACTGGTAATAAAAGTTATTCTAGTAACTTACACAGTTAGTGACAGTTAGTGTTAAGTGTTAAGTTATGCTTACTGATATACTCTACTCTACTGATTGATAGCTCACGGCTAGTCTATTATAGTTAATTATAGCTATACTATTTATAGTTATAGTATAGTGAGGCTATAGATCTAGGATAAAATTATATAAAATATAAAAGTCATAAGATCTAGCCTAGGCCTAATATATATAGGCTTAAATAAATACTAAATAATGTTTACACCTTACGCCCCATTTTGTGTATATACCAAATTTTGAAGTCAAATCTTTTGAGTGTAGACTAGAGTATTGATCTAGAATCTACATGCTTGCAAGGGCTATTTTGCTAGTTAGTTTTGGAACCTTAATGACAGAATAAAAGGACCTTGATAGAAATTTGTGTTCTCAAGTTTGGATCTTTGACTTTGTTTGGACTTGTGACAGTAGGTCATCCCTGAGTCCACTCAGCTCTTCCGAGTACTTACCTTATGTTGGGGAAAGTCAAACTGGCTGGGAATAGTGCAGACCACATAATTCTTTTGTAAACTGAAACATACGGACTCTACTTCATCTGCCCAATGGATCACTAGGTCTAAAAAGGAATCTTTTTTAAGTGTGTAGGTCAGGTTACTTACTACCAGCATTTTTTCTGAATTTGCAGAATTATGGTTTACCGTAAACAACTTCTTTGGCATAGGATCTACACATGTACTTATGTGAAACTAAAATTGTAAAAAATAGCATGGGCCCAATGAGCTACAGTAATTTAAAGCTGTATTTTAAATTCTCCTTCAAGCTTTTTGTGAAATATTGAGTAAAACCACTTTTTCTCCAAAAGCCAATGTGTCTAAAAGATTCTAGATCTATTTTATGCCTATATAATAATTTTATCTGAAACCTTTTTATTTTTAAATTATTGGTAGTCTTTTGTTTACCAACGTTCGACACTTTTTTTGTTGCAGATCTCACCATACTGAATGAGTGTTTGTATGGAACAACTAAGGCTTTACTTTCTCAATAAAGAAAAATGCTTGTGTTTGCAGGGGAGCTAACAGTCCATGTACCATCTTTTATTCATGGAACAGTGAGTAGACTTCATTTAGTACCTACCCTTTTCTTTTAATAGTGTTATGGGAGGTCTGTGCAGTTAAGCTCATAGTTGCTGAACCGAAAAGTCTCGAGTTTGAAACCCCAAGCAGATGAGGCTCGATAGCTGTGGACAGCCACTAATCTAGGAGAAACAGCTCAAAAATCAAACAACTGCTGCCTTGTAGTTTATTCTTGGTTGGACAAAGGATATGGAAGCAAAAAAGAAAAGCAGGCTGAAATGGGAATCAATGGCATAACAAGTTGATACGTAATACTTAAGTGTGTTGGAGGGAATCTCTTCCAACACTAGAATTAAGAACGAAGAAAAAGAAAGAAAAAAAGTGTTATGATAATGATAGTATTAATAGCATTGAAATGAATGTGTTTTTTTTGTCCTTTAGTTATAATCTTTTGATTCATACTATTTCACTGATTTTGCTTGTAACTTTACCTCTTGAGTCTTTTGAAATAGTTTTGGTTTTGATAAAGTCTTGCTAGGTATAATAATGTATGCTATTGTGAAAAGTTAATTTTGTTTGTATTTGTAGTAATTATTTAAAATACAAATCAATGGAAGCCAACATCATATTTTGAAAACACTGCCTTTCTTTCAATCCACTCCACTGATTCTCAATTCTATGCATATTTTCTAAAAGTAGGATAGAGTTGGGCAACCAAATTGTTTATTAAGGAAGCAAAATTTGTATAGAATAACTTCAATAAATAGGCTTATAGATGAACTTAAATATCCTATTGTTTCTCTTTTTAAAACATCCTGTCATATTTAATATTTTCTTCATGACTAGCTTGAATAAATAAAACATTAAAACACTATGTAAAAGCAAATACAATAGTTAGCTATATTTTTGCTTAAAAGCAGGAAGTAAAATAAGCTGCACTGAATATTTAACAATGGTACATAATCTTTCTAGCAGGAAGTTCATACTTCTGACTCACTAGCTTACCAAACTTGCACTAGGATGTATCACATTCAAGTGAAGAAATAGTGCGAAAACCTTTGGCTTTGTCATCCTGGCACATTATAACCCTTCCATTTTTTTTTAAAACTAGGTATAATATAGTATAGGCTTCCATCCAGACAAGTGTAGACATTTTATTTAAAAATTGCAACTGTTTTCACTGTTTTGTTTTTATTTTAAAGTTAGAAAGTTGCTTTTTCTTTAAACTACAGACAAGTAGGCTACTATATGGGACTGTGTGGCCCAGCGGTAGAGCGCTAGACTTCTAACATGAAAGTATAGATTTCAAATCTGGGTTCAAGTCAGTGGAATGTCCCTGAGTCCATCCTGCTCTGATTGGTACCTAACAGAAAGTAAAGGCGGCAGGGCATAGTACTGACCTCATTATCCCTTCATATGTTGATGTCAAGAAACATATAAACTCTACTTCATCTGCCCAATAGACCTCAAGGTCTAAAGAAGAATCTTTTTATAGGCTACTACATTATTGTTCATATAACTGTCTGTCCACCTCTAATAGTATCACAAGAAAACAAGAAAATACAACTTATATAAATAATATATTTTTCAGAAAGTGTACAGCAATGTTTGGTGTGTACTGTACCCTACAGAAAACAAGCAGAGTCCACGCATAGAATTGTATGAAAACAAAGCAAAAGTTAGATCCTCTGGATGTAAGAAAATCATTCATATAGAGGAAGCTAAGTGGAAAACCACAAATCCAGCTGAAATAACGTTTAGCTTTGAAGTGAAGAACAACAAAACCTATGTCTTCCAAACATCCAGTGCAGAAAGTTTGAAGCTTTGGCTTGTTCACCTATGCTGTGTCAGCAAAGAACTCTTTGATACCAAGAATAATGTGGGATTTGATGACCAAGGCAAGCTAGACACTAGTGCATTGACTGGTGATGTGTATGCTACTGTTAGCACTACTAGTACAGGTAAGTTTTTAAATGGGAGTTTTTGGTTTACCTGTATATTACTGAACAGTAACAAATAAAGTAGTACTGCTCTTTCAGGTCTAATAGCCCTTATGGCAGATAAAGTAGAGCTTGTCTGTTTTCTTGTGAAGGAATAGTGTCATTATTTCTATACTTAGCCACTTTTGCTTCTCCAAACTTAAGTCTAGTACACATTAAGGCTGGATAGACTCACTGATGTCTAATACACAGAGTGCATTCAATAATCTACAATAGGTTTAAGTTATGGTCATGGTTTTTTAAAGTACTGGCCTATATTCTGCTCTAGTAACTTATTTTAAGATTTTCTATCTCTTTCTATCTACTTTTTATGGTACTGTACTTAACAAGCTTTTCAGTTATTTTGGATGTTTTAGTTTTAAATCATAGTAATTACAAAAATGAATGTTATTTAATTTTGTATTAATTACAGGGGCTGCCAGCAAGCCTACCTTCCATGTGGTTGCTAGTAAAAGAAGTGACTGCCCACGAATCGGACTTGAAGGCATTTATAAACTGGTTATATTTAATCAAGAAATAAACATACAGAATTTTGACACTGGGAGAAAAATTGTAGCTTGGAAACTTCCTGAGATAAAAAAATATGGATGCTTTGAAGGTTGTTTTTTTGTATCTGCTGGTTCTAAGTCTGGCACAGGAGAAGGTAAATTCACTTTTTATACGGTGGTAGGTCAGCAAATTGTTGATATATTAGCCAAAAGTCAATCAACTGAAGATAATACATACGCACCTGTCCAGAGATCCAACACAAAAGCTCAGCACAGAGATGTGAAGCATGAGGAGAATTATATTCCAGTAAAAACAACAGCTCCTCCGTTACCTCCTCAAATATGGGGACAGAGCAAGACTGAGTCTGCTGAAAATGTTTATGATCACTTCAACTCTACTAAAAACAGTGACGTCAACGTCGAAAATGTTTATGGAATAGGGTCAGCTAAACCTCTGCATCAGGTGGTACCGAAAGCAGAGAACCCTTATGAAGATAGCTCAGCTGGGGCTTATGAAGACTTGTAGTCCTAAACATTTACTGGAGCTGATTGGAAAAAATTAGATCAGTACCAGAATATTCCATGAATATTAAACAATAATTATTGTTCGGTCATTTCTTTAATCATGTTTTTGGTTGATTTTGTTAAGAAAATTATTTTTTTTCAAATGGTATAAAACAATAGTTACATTCAGATCGTATCACATTAATTTTTAAAATTAAGCTAATTTGTTGCTTTTAATATGATACATTGAAATTGTTGTATTTGTTGTCATATTCATACACTCCAGTTTGTATTATTTTAATAGTATTTCCTAGTAAGTTCAAGTATTATTTAATTGTAAATTATTAATGTTAAAACGGCATGTGAATAAAAACAAGAATTGGTATTTAGTAATTTTTAGAAAATTTTAATTGTATTTAGCTTGATTACCTATGATTGTTTTGTGGGACAGAGCTGGACTGCTAACCCGTAAGTCTTGATTTCGAATCCAGGTTGAAGTCAGTAGACCATCCCTGAGTCCACCCAGCTCTGATGGGTACCTAACTCACATTTGTGTAAGTAAAGGCGGCTGGGCATAGTGCTGACCACATTATCTCTTCATATGCCGAGGTCAAAGAAACAAGTGAACTGTACTTCACTTGTCCTGTACACCTTCAGGTTTGTAAGGGAACTTTATTTTACCTATGATTGTTTAAAAAAATTGTCTCAAATGTTTAGATTATCTTTTTATTTATTTTTTTATTTATATTTTTAAATACAATTTCAAACCAGATGGCTCATGAGGCATACAGTTAAATCTGTTTCTCTACATAGTGTGGTCAGATGCCTTTACTTCCCCAACTTGCGTCAGGTTCCCATTAAAGCTGGGCGGGCTCATATATATGTATATATATGTATATATAAATATATAAATATATATATATATATAAATATATATATACACACACGCACGCATACACATATATATACACATATATACTTATATATCCACATATATACATTTTTTTAATATATATAGTATATGACTTATATATGGATCTTTTCTTTTTGTACTCATTTTAAAGGGTAATCATATTGTTAAATTACTCAAATTGTAATGTATGGTGCCTTTTTATTTTTCTCCATGAATTATTTATAAAATTTAATATGAAGACTTCATGATGCTTTTGTATGTACCAGAAAATCAAGTGTGCTGAATTGAGTTAATTTTACATGAGTGATTTTTTGAGTGAAAAAGTAATGTTTATATGTGAATATACACAAATGCAAATTGTGTTCTCTAAAATTTTAAATAAAATGATACATATTTTTCTCTTTTTTTTTTCCTGTTCCTTTATTCTTGTTGTAGCTTTAACCACTCTAGGTATACCCACCAGCCTAGGATATCATGAAAAAATGCATAAATGGTTTTATCACCCATTTCAAGTGACCAGGAATTAATGTCTAACCTGAATGTCACAACCAATGCATCCCTGACCAAATGTTATCACAGAAAGTGATACTTTGATTAGTTAGTGTCAAATTTTAAGTTCTATGCTATGCATCAGTCAATACCCGATAGTGTCATTGCCAAACTCAGTTGATAGAGTGCCTTGAGATTGAGTCAATCTTTAGTGTGTGACCAAAAAAAAATTGCATCAACTTGGGATTTTTCCTTCATGAATTATAGGCAGTATTTAAGGGTATTGAATTGCTAAAGAACAAAAAATGTGCTTTAGCTCCATTAAATTGGCTTGGAACAGGAACAATTGTGTTGGTGACCTCCCTTATCTTCATTTCCAGAGAATTGATTAATCAAAGGAGTGATGTGTGCATGTGCCCCATGGACTTTCTTACTTTACATATACATATACAATAAGCCAATTTACAACAAATGTAAGGAAATAAATAAGGTGGTCAGGTAAAAAATGATTTTATTGTCACAGATGGCAAAAACAATTTGAAATTTAAGATCATACATTAATATGTGTGTCACAAATTTAGTGAGTACAAAGCATAGATTATAATTCTAGTTAATTAATATATTATTATAGTACAAGTTACATATATATATATGTATATATATATATATATATATATATATATATATATATATATATATATATATATATATATATATATATATATATATATAAAAGTAGGCCTACTAATGAGTAGTCTATAAGTTACACTATATGTGACTACTATAGGTCAATTACCCCATTTTAAGGGTTGTCCATAAATCACGTCACTATACTATACTATTTAGTTAACGACCACAGCAACAGTCTGGAGTAAGCTACTGATTCGTACTGTCTGAATACCATACAGAATTACTGAATTACCCAACATCCTTTTTTACTATTTTTACTTTCTCGCATATGAAGTATAGAGAAAGTATTGTAATAGTGAAAAAAAATCGCAATTCGCAATCTCGCCATTTTACACCTCAGTGAGTCGGAAAAACATAATTTTGCCATCTTGTCCGTATGTCTCTGTGTGTGTGTGTGTGTGTGTGAGTGTGTCTGTGAACATGCTAACTTGAGATGATGAAATTTCATAAATAGCTATTATATAAAATTTGTAGTTCTGTATCAACTTTTCAGCTATTTCAGGTAACCTAAAGTGGCACTTATTCTATTTTCAATTTTTCAAAAGCCTATAACTTGAGTACTGTTTGAGATAGATAAATGAAATTTCAAATGTAAGTAAAAGATCTAATTCTCTGCTCTCTATTAAAATTTGAGTAATTTCCGTTGACGGGAAGTAGTAATTTACGCTATTTCCGACTTCTCAAAAAATGCATGTAAATTTATAAAGTACTAATAATATTCCGCACTATTTTACACAGATTGTTTGGTGCTAACTTGGTGCTCAATTCTTTTTTCTATAAGATTCTATTCTATTTTAAAAAGTTTAAGTAATTAAAAATGTATTAAAAATCATGTCTATATCCCGAGGTGTCATCCCCTGTAGTGTTATATAAGCATATTTGAGAAAGTTTAGAGGAGATCACTCCTGGTTTATTAGAGATCATTTTACTTACTATCGAGTTCAAACCCACTGGCAGATAAATCTCGATCCCCTTCAACACTAATAATTAAGAACGAAGAAGAAGAAGAAGAAGAGTAGGCCATTCGGTTCATGGCTTCCGGGTTTGTTTGTTTGTATTATCTCACGGCGCAAGCTCTTGAAGCGATTTACGAAGATTGCAGCGTGGTTTCATTTTCATTAAGGGGTAGAGGGATAAAACCAATGATTTTGAAGCCATCGTCAATTTTAGTAATCAGAATTACCCGTTTCTAATTAAGTATGTTAATCAAGAATAGTTAGGTGTACTTTTGACCTAATTTCTTTATTTATCTCACAAGCGGCACTTGTGAAAGTAGTTCTATTTATTCTTGTGTTAACGTGAACTTGAAATCAAATAACTTCTAAACTACGAGATGTACATTAATTAAAAAATAATGCCGCAACAGCTCAGAGTCTTAGCTTTCTAATGACAATGTCTGGGAATAATTCTCATGTCCGTACTTGTGATACGATGTCAATTATATCACCCCCCCCTATAATGCCATTTTATTATAATCTTTTTGCAGAAAACAAAGCGGGGGAAATGTGTGCAGCGCCAAAATCCAATCATATATAGAATATATAGCGTTTTCCTAATTTATTATCGTTTTTTATCATTTTTTAAAGTAAAAATATGAATTGTTAGTTAAGATTGCAGTTTTTGTAACATGGTATACTTGCCCTCTGTGAATATAAAAAGCATGGCATGTTGATTATGTAAAATATTGTCATAAAACAAAAAAATACAAAGATCTTTTTTTTTACTACCACTATCCACCACAATACTATAGGCATTAATTTTTTTTTTTTTTAAATTGTTTATTAATGTGTTAAATTTTAGCTATCTAAATTCATTTCTAAGATGTCTTAATATGCTTAATGTGCAGTTTTCTTGACAAATCTTTAAAAATAATCAAGAAATCCACCGATGAAATCAGGTCACAGTTCTAGTAGTTTTTTCTTCATTAGCTCATAATAGACTGAACCTGACTTTGGAATTATTTTTAGTTATAATAACTTTGCACAGAGAGTTAATATATGCTTAATTGACTTAGTTTACTAGTGTGCTAGCTATTATTGATACATTTTTCCTAAAAATTTTTTTTGAGATTTTCATCAAATTGTTATTTTAAAAAAAATCCCCATCGGTTTTTACTAATACTACATTCCAAATGATTTAATTTAATTGATTTCATACCATTCAGTCAGCATAGGTGTACACTATACATCTATTTAACTATTAATAAGAAGATTATTACTAATAGTTAATTACTAATAGTTCTAGTCAAGGAAGCAAAGCTTCATCGGCCATTTTGAAACAATACGTCTCCTAGACAAAAAAATGTAAAAAATTAAAACCTACTTTTAGTAGAAGCAGAACAAAATAAAGTAATCCATTTTATTTACTCGACAAAAAAACTTTTTTTCAAGTTTTTATAAAAGAGAATACATATTAAGCTACTTTAAAATATGTTATTATATTTGTTTTTTTTTAAACGGAAATAAATTAAATATCTATTTAATTTGAGACGAAAATTAAAAAGTAAAATCTACGTACTACTGTTTATGACTTGAGTATAGATTTATATTTTATAATATCTAGATCTAGCAGTCAACAGGGAAGTGTAATTCTATCTAATGTTAACATTCCGGACTCTTTTCAAAGGTACAAATCTAGATTATTAAATGGATTTACAGATTTAGACTTATATCTACCTTAAATAAATACAAAAGGTCGGCGTAAATTAGATCTATAGTAATAAAGTATTCTATAGGCCCTATCCATATTTTTTTTATTAACACTTTAATAATTATTAATTTCTATTGCCACCCATTGGCCAAGACTAGGGCGCTAGGTCTACTTTTTTGAAAGTTATTTAAGTTTTATTTAAAAAAATAATTAAAGTTTTATCTTTTATATCATTGTATAGAATATAGACTATATTGTATAGGATAGTCACTTATTTACAAAAATTTTTTTCATTTAGGCCTATAAAAGCCAATTACTAGTTTAGTTAATAGTTAGTTACTAGATCTAGTTAGGCCAATTAAATATTATTTAGTAGGCCCCTAATTTATAAAAGCCAATGTGCGCACTTCTCTCACTCTCTCTCTCTCTCTCTGTCCGCATGTCCCAAGCCTAAGATCAGTATCTTCAACGATATATGAACTTAAAGATACTTACTTTTGACTTGTTGAAAATAATATGGTGGATGTTTAAATGTATAAATTATTTTTTATTAAAAACAAATAAAATAGAAATAACGCAATATTTGTATGTAGAAACACATTTTTAATTATGCAACTGAAAAAGTGTTAATGGTTGTGACAAGAGCGCAATAAACAATGATGTCACATGCCACATGTTTAAACTACGGAAAGAACACAACACTAATGCCGCCGTATTTTAATTTTTGAAAATGAAGAAATGAGCTATTTCATTTAAATTTGATTTAGATCTAGATTCTATAAATTTACTTATCACAAGATGTATGCTACGAATTGTATACAATTTTCTCGGTCAAACTAATACAAATTACTTTAAAAAACAGCCGGGTTTTTAAAAGGAATCATTTAAGTCTCTTAATCAGTGTGTGCATTTAATATGTTGTTGTGTTGACTAATAATGTATATAATTTGGTTTTAATTTTTCTAATAGGTATTGGTAGCCTATGTTATTTTAAATGTGTCGGCTTTTTAGCTATTTAGTTATTTCTTTTCTTTGTCACTAATATTGTTTAACACATAGTATAACACATAGTGTTTTGACCAATATCTATTTTAAAAATTATTTTTTCCTAATAAGGATAACAGTAAAAATATATAGGCTTATAATTCACGTGAAACGGGTACCCATGGCTTGTTGATATTAGGTTTTCGTACGACCTACTTTTTAAAGAATCATCATTTCTCTGGTAATTATGTCTTCAAAAAAGTCTAAGCCTCGCTTTTGCTTTTTTTTTTTTTAAGTTTTGTGGTCATTTAAAAAATATAAATGGCTAAACTAGTTTTATTGTGCTAATTCTGCTTCTATACTTTAATTAAAAAATGAATGCTTAGTGTTTGTGCACTTATTTGTGATTCATTTTTCCTACACACTTTGGTAAACTGGAGCAAAAGATAAAGTAAGAATTACACATTAAATATGATATAAAATGCTTCCAATAAAACATTGCTGCTTAAAGGTAATGCAATGTTCTTTTGTACCAAAACAATATTCATCATTAAAAAATCAATGTTAGTGCAGACATAAAAAGTGCTGACTGGACACGAGTCAGACAAAAAAAAAAGCAGACAAACATAACGCTGACAAAGATGAAAATCCAAATATCACAAAAAATGTGTTGTTACATATCTCCCTTTGAGACAAGAATAAAGGCCACTGGCATCACTACCCACAATAGACTGTGCTAAGTAAAAATTTGGAGGTGACGGGAGTGTTTAAATCACAAGAGATTAACATCTAAATATTGTTAGATACGGTTCACTACTGTCTTGTCAACAAGGTGAAACAACCATCAAATGCCAAAAGACAATACAAGTTCCTATCCTTATAAGATGAACATTATTGGGTCCAAGCGACTGGATGACAGTGTAATGTACAAAGGATAATCTGGTAGATGGCAGTATCACCATATTTCGCAAAGAAATGTAATAATAAAACCAAATAAAGTAGACCAGTCTTGTCCCTTTTGGGCACATGCTTAAGAAAGATGCTAGTAATAGAGCTAGACTGGCCTTAGACCCAGGACAGGCAATGCAGAGGATGAACCAGGAAGACATGGTGACGTAGCCTAATGGAGGAGGCTGAAAGGATAGCAAAGAATTGGGAACAGCTAAAAAGAGTGGCATGAGACAATGGGGAGTGGAAAGCTTTCATAGAGGCCTTATGTTCTGCATGTTAAATCCTGACAAAATTAGAATTACATTCCAGTTTCATACATTGCAGATTTCTCTATACATTATTTTATTCGTTTGAATGTGACACATGAGCATGGTGACAAGGTTGGATATGCCATCAAATACACCATTAAAAAAAAACAATTTTAAGGACTCAAAACAAAAACTATCCAGTAGAGCCACATACATTAGAAGATGTGGCTAATCCAGATGACCTAAGGTTGATACAGTCAGGAGCTTTGTTTCTGTTAAAGGGAAGCTCCATAAACAACAATGAGCTGTTAATGTTTTCTACTGAAGCAAACATCCATAAACTTTGTGAGGATTATGGTTGGAAATTTCAAAACTGCTCCATTTATTTTCATTTAAATCTACTCTATTCATGCAGAGTTTCACAGCTTGTGTTCTCTAGTTGTTTTATAAAACTTGTCTGCCTTTTTGTCTGTGACGGCCTTTTGTACTTACTGATATGTGAGGCTGTGGCTGAGTCCGAAGCATGTCATCCATTCCGTCTGTTGTAGTTTCAGAATCCATGTCATCAAAGTGAATATTTTTTTCCTTAACAGTAATAACAGTCAAATGGGTTTCGTTAGCTTGTTTGTTATTTAAAAATAATTATAAACGTAATTTCTATTCACTTTCTTGTATTATTCTTTACGTAGTATGAGGTACATATTTCTGATTATGCAGGATATCACCCAGCAGATGGGGCTCTGTTCAGACATAGTATCTGGTCCCTAATGGGAAAAATTACCATAAGCAACTATCTGCCTACATGTACCATAGGCTACTCTTCATACGTTATAAATTTAAATTATCTAGATCCTAAAAATAATTGATAAGTGTAAATAGGCTATATAAAAATAATTTTAAATAAGCCCTAGTCATTTATTTATGCAAAAAAGAAGCAAATATAATGATTATCTTTAAATAGGCTTAGATGATACATACTAATTTATAATAATATACTAATTTATAATAAAGCACCACTATGTAGGCTATAGTACAGCCCTAGAGAAAAGCATTGGTGGCTATATCATGCAGGTGAATGAAAGAGTTACATACTATTGTATATCTCTTCAAATTGCCTTTGATAATTTATGTCATGTTTTTTCCTTAAAGTTTCTAGATTTTACAAGCTAATAATACATATAACATTAATCTACCTACAGGAATTATAATGTGTCTAAAAACGATGTATATTCAGGGTCTCCACTGGATCATTCTAATGTTTTCTTTGTAAATCTAAACCAGAGACTTTTGGGTTAGGCGTTGATTACTCTACCAGCAACAGTGGCGGAACTAGAAAAAAATGGCCCCCCCGCAAAAAATTTTTTTAGGCCCCTATATATATCTATATCTATATGTATATATATATATATATATATATATATATATATATATATATATATATATATATATATATATATCGGGTGCAGTGGCGTAGCGAGGTCGGGTGTCACCCGGTGCGGCACTTAATGGTGTCACCCCCCCAGAGGCATAGAGACCCTTCCCAGGGACAAACTTTCAAATTTTCGATTTGCACCCCCCCCCCCTCAAGTTTTCGATTTGCACCCCCCCTCAAGTTTTCGATTTGCACCCCCCCCCTCCCTCAAGTTTTCGATTTGCACCCCCCCTCAAACTTTCGATTTGCACCCCCCCTGAGTTTTTCTCTATATATTTTGCTATTTTTTGCCTTGGTGTCACCCCCCTAAATGGTGTCACCCGGTGCGGTCCGCACCCCCCCCCCCCCCCCCCGAAAGAAATTAAATTTATATAATTTATATAGAAAATATATACTTTTAACAGTGCCCGCCCCCCCCCCTCCGAAAATTTCAAGTGCCCCCCCCCCCCCCCCCGAAGAAAAAAGTCTGGAAGAAACACTGCCAAAGAGACCCACCCATATTATAACCGAATATAACCCCTCCCCGTTACGGGCTAAACATGAAATTAAACATTAATACATTCAAAGGTGATATAGATCTTTTGGTTGTTTTTAGGCTTAAAAGCTAGATCATTGTATCCTAAATTTGATTAACTTTAATGTATTTAGTGTTAATAACTAATGTTCAATTAATACGTGTACTAATTATAAAACAATTAATAATATAAAGACGAGCCTTACCTTCCTTGTTGTGTGAATTAGACTCGTCAACAAAATACTTCATCAGGTAAATGAACAACTACTGACTAGTGTCTTTAACAAAATGTGCAGAAGTAGTCAGTTTACAGTTCAGTAGTTCATAGACGGTTCGTTAATCTATGCATTACATCTTATTGTAAGAGTAAGGGTGTGGTGAGGGGTAGAGGTGAGGGGTAGGGGTGAGAGGGGGGTGAGGGGGGAGGGGTGAGAGTTGGGAAGGTTCAAGGGAAGGGGACTAGAAAGTGCCGATAAACATCTACATCAATAGTGCCGACTTTTCCCGGTCGTCTAGAAGACCAGAATAGTCGCCGCAACATTTCCCCAGCCCGATTTCAAAGCGTGCCGGCAAAAACTTCAGATGCTTCGCTAAAGGGAGATAACTTAAACTTTCGCAAGTTTATTGATACAGTTGTTAAAGTAAAAATGAACGCAATTATAAATGTATGACATCGAAATAAATAATTATATTTTTGTAGAGTCCAGGCCAGTAGTTTAAACACACAATCATATATATATATATATATATATATATATATATATATATATATATATATATATATATATATATATATATATATATATATATATATATATTTAATAATGTAAACAATATAACAATCCTTTTTACTTTCTCGTATATACGAAGTATAGAGAAAGTCTTGTAATCGTGCAAAAAAAAAAAAAATCGAGATTTTTGCAAATCTCGACGTTTTGCATCTCACTGATACGGAAAAACATAATTTTGCAATCTTGTCCGTATGTCTGTGTGTCTGTGTGTGTGTGTGTCTGTGTGTGTGTGTGTCCGTGTGTAAACACGATAACTTGAGTACCGTTACAGCTAGGTTGATGAAATTTCATATATAAGTATTTTATCAAAATCGTAGATCCGTATCAACTTTTGAGCGATTTCCGACAACCGGAAGTGGTACTTTTTCTACTTTGAATTTTTCAAAAGCCTATAACTTGAGTACTATTTCAGATAGATAAATTAAATTTCACATGCAATTAATTTGACTAAGAGATTTTATTCTATTTTTAAAACTTTAAGTATTAAATATGGATTAAAAATCATGTCTATAGCCCGAGTTCCCATCCCATGTTATTTTATATAAAAATATTCGAGAAAGTTTAGGGGAGATCACTCCCGGTTTATTTGTTCTCCTAATCGACGCCACTAAAAGTAAAAAGGTAGGCTACGTCTTTGAAGTTGTCTATATGTCTGGCGGTCTCTCGAGCTATATTCTGTACATTTTTTTCAAAGACGTTTGCCGACTATCGTGTTTTTTTGTAACTGTAGAAGAAAGATAACTCGACCTCCACCTAATTTTTTAAAAAAAATTAATTTTTTTTTTTTTACATTTTTTTTTTTACATTTTTTTTAAAAAATAATTTAGCCAGGATTTTTGGGCCCCCAATCGGTCTGCCCCCCTCCCCCGCATTGCGGTGTCTGGCGGCACTGTAGTTCCGCCCCTGCGTCTTTGAAGTTGTCTATATGTCTGGCGGTCTCTCGAGCTATAGTCTGTACATTTTTTTTCAAAGACGTTTGCCGACTATCGTGTTTTTTTGTAACTGTAGAAGAAAGATAACTCGACCTCCACCTAATTTTTAAAAAAAAAAAATTAATTTTTTTTTGTTTTATTTTTTTTTTTACATTTTTTTTAAAAAATAATTTAGCCAGGATTTTTGGGCCCCCAATCGGTCTGCCCCCCTCCCCCGCATTGCGGTGTCTGGCGGCACTGTAGTTCCGCCCCTGCGTCTTTGAAGTTGTCTATATGTCTGGCGGTCTCTCGAGCTATAGTCTGTACTTTTTTTTTCAAAGACGTTTGCCGACTATTGTGTTTTTTTGTAACTGTAGAAGAAAGATAACTCGACCTCCACCTATTTTTTTTTTTTTTTTTTTTTTAAATTTTTTATTTTAAATTTTTTTAAAAATAATTTAGCCGGGATTTTTGGGCCCCCATACGGTCTGGGCCCCCCCGCATTGCGGGGTCTGGCGGCACTGTAGTTCCGCCCCTGACCAGCAACCATAAGTAGATACCTTTTCAGACCTGGGGGTCTATAGGGCAGATAAATTGAGTTCATGTAAAAGAATAGTTGGTTAAGTTCTAAGCCCAGCCGTTTTATTTTCCCTAATGTAAATCAGGTACCCACCAGAACTGGGTTGACATTCTTGGGACTAAAGTCCAGATCTGAACATGCAGTTATTCAAGCTACTGCCCAACTATGCTGTTCTACCATTAGACTAGCACCCAAGCTGTGTTATAATATTTGAGATGGCATTAAGGTGCAACACCTAGTCAGACATAATATTTATTTCAGTAGAATTCCTCAACCTAGATGTTGTGAACAATTCAGACTTGTATTTATTGTTATATAAATAATTATGCATTATTATATTAAAAGAAAATAATTTCATTTTCTTCTTTTTAGTGAGAAAATAAAAGCAATTATTATTATAAAAAAAAATCGCTTGATAAAAAATAAGCGTGCTACGTGTGTGGACAAGTGTGTAGTAATCTTTAGTTTTTAAAAATAAAAAAATATCTAATTAAGTCTTAAAAGTTGTTGTGTTATTTATAAATGACCCCTAGTACAAATGTAGATATGTATCTTCATATCCCCGCTACATCCTGGTATTATCATCAACAACTGCTGTGCCATTGTCATGTTAATTGTTATGTGAGCTGGAGTTTTGGTCTAAATTAGCTAATGTTAAGGTTGATTTTATATATTTAATTTTAAGTTTCAAACCTACTGGTTTGCCTAGTTTAAATGTTTGGTAATGTGTTAGTGTTCAATTTCAATTTTTTAGTGCAGATTTATGCAGAAGATTAAATTATACTGTCAGTGTTAAAGTTAATGTCGGTTTATTTTTAGGCAAGACACAAAGCTTACCTTTTTACCAATCAGTTGTATGTACTTCATGTTTAGATTTCAATGTTATTTTATGTATAAATTTATGTTTATGAATACAGCTACATTTGAGAATGGGTTTTAATTTAGGCATAAGATTTTATTTTAAGAAATAGCTTCTTTTTTGTGTGAATAATAGGTTTAGGTTCTTAAAGGTAATATATATATTTCTGTAATCATTTTAGTTATTGTTTACATGTGTTTAGGTGTATTCTAGTTTAAGGTTTTAATTTAGGTTTGAAATTTGATTTGTTTTGGGATATGTTTTATGTGTGTGTAGTATAATGTTTAGGATCAGATTAGGGTGTATGTGGTGTTAGTTGTCTGTTTATCATCACTCATGCATTGTTGAAATAAGTTTCAGTGTAAAATTTTTATTTTAAACCTCACATGCATTATTTTAAAAAAATGAACATGTTTGAGTAAACTTTAAAAATGGGGACTAATGCAAGACCTGGTTCTGAAATTAAGAATGATGTTTTAACAAAATTTGAAACATGTATTTGTACGTTGGACAAAGTTATTTTGTAGAGCTTCTTGTGTGATCCATTCCTACATTATTTTTTTTTTTAAATTCTAGATGTGTTGTCATATCCACTGAATGAAAAACTTCTAAATTTAAAACAACATATGAATTCACAAGTCTAGAAAATGCTTGTTTATGCAGGACAGCTGACAGTTCAGGCCCCTTCCTTTTTCTTTGGGACAGTAAGTGCTTTATAATTCTTTATCTATGTTGACATTTTTATGTAAGAAGATAAAATATGATAATAATAAAACACCAATCAAGACCATTTTTCTAGATACCGTTGATAAAGAACCTATGATAAAATGCCTGCTTTTTAATTTTAAAAAACAATTTTTGGTACTTTTAGATATCCGAGTCATTTTGTTTTTGTTTTAGGTCAATCTATTTATTTTACTGATGGCCTATATATAACTGAACAAGAAAATATTTTAAAATTATGCAAACACTCCACCATTCAATTTGTCATTCAAATAAGGAAGTGATTTAAGTATATATTTTACAGCAGATCATGTATGTATAGTATATGTTAAAGGAGGAAGTATATTGTTTTTTATAGAAACATAGAGTGTTATATTAAAGCTTAGCTGAGTTTTGACAGTACTGTGTATAGCCACAATAAAAGAATCATGCCATACGTGAGGGGGACAGAAGTGGTCTTATTCACTCATTTCTAGATCCTGGTGGGGACAAGTGGGGTTTTTAAAATCCTGAACAAACTGATTACAACAAAACTAATGAAATTAAACTTGGTAATGCATAGTTTAATCTGAAATTTATTTACATTTACTAGATGTTACACATCCATGGCTTACATTATAAGTAATTTATTAAAGCTTCTCAATCAACACTCTACACTTTTTACAAGCCGCTCAGTCTAAGTACACGATAATAAACTCAGATGTACAGTAACAGGACACCAGGTTAATGGCAACAGGACAGCACATCAGGTTAATTGTAGCAGGACAGCATTATGTTAATAGTGACAGGACAGCATCAGGTTAATGGTGAAAGGACAGCATTACATTATCTGCAATGGATAGCAATAGGTAAATGGTAAGAGGACAGCATCAGGCAAACAGGATTGGGACAGTATAAGGCAACGGCAACAGGGCAGAATAAAAAATGACTCAAAAACAACCCACGATAATCCAAGTATTTTTGGTGAACTGTAAACACTGACTAACGTAACAATACCTACACTTGTCACACATAAACACTCAAATGACATGCTATATTCCAAAGTAATATGATGCTGGCTAACACAAAGAAAAAGGAATACATTTTGAAGTGAATATCGATATTTGTCATAAGATTTACCTCAAAGTTGTATAATGTTGCATATGGGAGGAAAATATATTATAAAATCACACACAAATATATTTATGTTGCTGATCTAACCATCCCTATTTATATCAAGATCACTAAAAGAACTGTATTCTGTTAAATCTTCAATGTATTACAAATCAGCTTAGTCAAGGCACCATTTCTAAACAGTGTTGAGTAGAACATATGGGTTTGAATCCAGATGACCTGTTTGAGTCCTTCCAGCTCTGATGATTACCATGTTTAAGTTGGGGAAAGTAAATGGTGCTCGTTTGGTTCTGAACACATCTTCATATGCTTTGGTCAAAGGATTAGATAAGCTCTACTTTTTACCCTATGAGATATTACTTTATAAAAATGGTCAGGTCTGCAATTTAATTAACTTTTTTAGTAATAAAATGGTGTTTCTTGCAGAAAACTTACAAAGATGTCTGGTGTGTCCTGCACACGATTGACATTGAACGTAAAATTAATCCAAAGATTGTGCTGTATGAAGATGAATCAAAGGTGGGAACATCATCTAGTATGAGAGTCATTTACATCTGTGAAGCAGTATGGAACACTAAAAACACCCTGGAGTTCTCCTTTAGTTTTCTCATCAGCAAATATCGTTATGTCTTTATAACAACCAACAATGAATCTCTGAGGCTCTGGATCCTTCACCTGTGCTGTGTCAGCAAAGATCTGTATGACAAGAAGCATTTAGTAGGCATTGATGATCAGGGTAAACTGGACCCTGATGCCTTGACAGCAGGAGGGACTGATGGAACTGTTGTGTTGAACACACTTTACCTATCCAGTGCTGATAGTTCCAGTAAGTTAATCATTAAAAACAGTTCAGCTTTAAAACACATTTTTACTAACATTAGCTATCACTGTACAGTATAATGTCTCATTGTTTTTGTTTTGCTCTACAAGACTTGTCATTGTTAATGCGTGTTAGGCTTGAGGGTGTATTTCATTCAGACACAATTAGCCACAAGTCGTTGAGGTTAGGTTGAATCAGATGAGTTTAATATCAACTGTTTCTCAGTTGTCAGCATCAGTTACAGTATCAACACCATACTTCTTCCTCATCGCAACCTCTAACTTCTGCCCATCCCCAATGTTACACATCTCCTTACTCCCGTTCACACCACACTCAACAGTCGCTTCCCCTATGTATACAATTCACATACACACATACACACTTTTCACATCACCACACCATCCATGTAGTATGATGATAATAGAGATAAAACTGAAATGATTTTATATTAATTTTGAATCAATGTACTTAATTTAGGTTCAGTTTTAGAGTTTTAAAAAACTAAAATTCTACTAAGTACTGAGTTAAAACTATTCTTCTTAGTTGTTATTGACTTCTAAAAAGCTTAAGCCACTTATAAATGTAGGCCATGTTTCTTTTGTTTGTTTTCTTCAACATTTCTCAGTGTTTAGGGGGCAAACACTTACGTGCAATCTATTCTTGTGGATTCAATGCCAGAGCAATTCTTGTTTATATGTCTTTTCATTGAGTGTAACCAGTTAACCACCACCTTATCTGAATGTCATTCTCTATGATTTTTCATAATTTAGCATTCTGATATTTTAGACACCATTTTCTGTCTTATGGTTTCAATAGACATTCAACACTTTCAATAATTGCAGTCTTTTAAAAATGTATTTTGAACTCCACTGTACTGTACTGAAGAACTAGTTTGAATATTTAGTTTAAAGTTCCCACCCATGTTGTAATTATTGTTTGACTTGTAAAACTATATAATGATTTTAAACAGACAATTTTAAATGTACAATACTTTTGTTCTTTTTTGTAGTGATTTTTTACCATGTGGTGGCGGATGAGAAAGGTGATTGCCAGCGTATTAAACTTAAAGGAATGTACAAGCTGGGTCTTAAAGATGAAAACATACACATTCAGGATTTCAACACGGGAGAACCAGTAGTGTCTTGGTCACTTTTTGAAATAAAAAAGTATGGATTCTTCCATGAGTATTATTTCTATTTAGTGGCTGGACAAAAGGCAACCCCTAACGATGGGAGGTTCACATTTTATACAGTGATGGGTCAGCAGATTGTTGAATATCTAGCTGAAGAAGCTGACAAAATTCGTGTGAAATACAATATCAAACCGCTTGGTGCCACTGCTGATCCAGAGGCTGGTCCTTCCAGTCAAGAAGAGTTGGACCCATATAGTGATCCTGACAAGGAAACTGCTTCTAAAATAAAACCTGATGTTAAGCCTAAACCTAAACCTGAAGTTAAACCTAAACCTAAAACACCAGCAGATAACTATTCTGTAGTTGAACCGAAATCGATGAAAAAACAGGCACCGACTCCTGTAGATTCAAGTAAAAGCAGTTCTAAGAAGAAAACAGAGAAAGAACAAGAACCAACAAAGTCTAAAAGAAAAGACAGAAGCAAAAATTATGAGGATCCTTGGGAAAATAAAAATTATATGAAACAGCCACCCCCAAATCCCATAGAACACTCTGCTGCAGCAACAGATCAAGTGGAATATGCAGGGGTGGATAAAAGCAGTAAACAAGCTGTGCCGAGAGAAGTTAAGCATACAGAAAATTATTTTCCTGTTGATTCCCCTGCACCACCAATACCCCCTCCAGTTTGGGAAACAGACCCAAACAGCACTGAGAGCAATAACAATGTTTATGATCACTTCGACTCTAAAAAAGGAAAATCTCCCAACCCGGAAAATGTTTATGGCATTGCGTCAGCCAAGCCTGTACATCATATTGTTAATGTCCCCAATGCTGAAAACCCTTATGAAGATACTAACACTGGGGGTGCTTATGAAGCAGTAGGGTATAGTTAAGGCAGCTGTGATAGGTAAATCAAGTAATCTATTTTATGAAAGATTTAAAAAATGAAACAGACTCAAGCACATAATTATTACAATTTGATGAGCAGTAGATTTCTTAATATTTTTTGTCATTATTGATTAGTGATTTGCTAGAAACTCAGAATATCATTGATGATAGATGGTGTCTTTAATTCTGTAACACAACTTTTAACCCTTAAATATTATTTGGATTTGTTTGTGTTTCTTCCTCCTTGTTTTTGAATTATTGACTCAATTGGACATAGGCAAACATACACTGCACTTAATTTCTTGTAATAAAATAACTTTTTCTTAAAGAAAATAGCAAAGCTATCCTTCAATAGAACAATATAATGTAGGTAAATGAAGTTTGATGCTGGCCATCATTCTCATACTGGTTGCTTATATATCCTGGTTGCACTAATTAACGTGCTGGTTATAAATTAGAAAATGTTCAACCATATTAAAGGGTTGCTTGGTTTATTTTGGATCATTTATACACTTACATTCAATACATTTTGTTTGTACAATCTTTCTGGTTTTATAAAAAAAAATGGAAATATAAATTTATAACTTTACATTCTTATCCTGTACAGTATAGGCAATGTATTGTGCCCAAAAGAACTACTTCACTCAAATATTTAGTTGCAAGTAAATATTTTTGCAAGTTTTCTGTAAGACAAGCACAAATTTGAAATAATGACCTCATCACAGTTTTAAATCTTAAATTCTTTAAATAGTGATTTAATTAACAGCCAATGAGTTCATATACAAATATTACTAAATTTACAAGTGCCAGCAAAATTTATTTCAATGTGGAGTAAGCAACTGTTAACCATAGATGCCAATTTAATTCTAAGTATCTAAAATTTCATGAGATGTAATGACTGGTAGGAAGTATGTTTTTTCCCTTAGCAACATCAAGCAATAGTTTGCAGGATTATTCAAATAATTGGTATTGTTATCAGTAGTTACATTTGTGTCTAATAAATTTCAAGAGGTCTAAATGCTGATTTTAAATTTAAATTAGTATGAACTATTGGAAATTTTTTTTACAATGCATAGCTTTAAAAATTTCATAGAAAGCATTTAAACTTTTGCATTTGACTACATTATCTTTTTCTTTTCTTTTAAAAAATATTTCTTTAAGAACTTACGTTGAAAAGATTTATCAGCAGCTTTACTTTGTTTAAATGGTCTCCACACTCACAAAATTATAAAAATGTATATTACTTCTATTTTTATTGTTGTACTAATATGTAGTGTATATTTCTTTTCTACTTAATTTTAACTTGAGGATAACCATTAATGTATCACATAACCAGTACATTTCAAGTTTCATGTTTCTTTCTTTGATGTAACTATTTACCTTAAGTTTAATTTATCATACACATATGTTAATGTTTTTTGTTTAGATATAACTATTTGCAAATCTCCCAACCCAGAAAATGTTTATGGTATTGCATCAGCCAAGTCTCTACATCATACTGTTAATGCCCCAAATGCTGAAAACACTTATGAGCTTTTGTTCAACAAAATGTCTTGTTTTGTAGATTTCTTACAGGTAGCTTTATTAGTGTTGGTTTATAGTATTCAGATAAAGGAAAAATTTTATTAACATATTATTTATTAAAATATTATTAACTATATTTTTATGTTAATTCCTTTTAAAAACTCCATCACGTGTGCATGAACCTTTCGTTGATCAGAGTCATAATTTATTAAGAAGACAATCACATAACTATTATTTATGTTAAGCACAGCAGGCCATTTTGTATTACTCAATTATGTATTGCAAGCCATTTAAAAAAACCCAGAATGTTCAGGTATGATATAGTAATAACTAACATATACAGCATTGAAAGTTTTAAATAGATTGGTTTCCACAGTTGATCCTGCTCAATATCAACCATGATGTACTCTATCCCCAGATATGTGGACTTCAGTTTCTTTTCCTTTTTTTCAATAATTATTATCTATTAAGTATAAAATGAGTGATAATACGTAATTTATTTCTTCAAAAAATGCTTTTCCACTTATGTGAATTTGTTAGCTGTAGCCTACTTTAAAAAAATAACAATAATTAAACTATATGTATGATTTAAAAACAAGAACTAAAGCAAATAATTTTTAATCTCTGCATGTTTTAATCTTATAAAAGTGAATTAAAATTTATTTACTTCTTAAACCTAAAAAAAAAGAAAGTATTACATACATACAGCATCAAATTTAATCATAGTATTTAAAAAATCTTTGTAAAAACCATGTGTGCATAAGTTTAAAATGTAACTACTAGTAAGTAATGTAGTTGAATGACCAGTATTAGATGATATCATTTTATGCATAATGTTCATTACAGCTTAAAATGTAGTATATTTCATAATGAAAGTACGTTTTAAAAATCTACTTAAAAGTTTTTAATTTTATAACCTATAGCATATACTCTGTTTAACCATAAAAAGTTTTTTTTTTTATTTAGCTATTAAAATGTATCAAAAGTATACAATAACAGTTCACTCATTAAAAATATGTTGTGTCCAACTTAATTTGTAGTTAATTGTTACTAGCTAAATACAAGTATGTTTAAGTCCAGTTGTTTATTTGTTATATTCCATCCTTCTGTGATTAAATCAAACTTACATGTATTATTAAAATCAAACTTACATGTTTTATTACAGAATTCATAATAATAAACACACCTGTTTCATTACAGAATTCATAATAAAGCAAAATATAAACTGTGCACTCAAGCTAAAAAAATTTTTGTTTAAATTTACATGTGTACAAAATATGGTGCAGGCCTACCAAGTGCCTTATTGTTTCATAAGCATTTATTTTTAATTGTGTATAGACCAGAGATGTTTGGTAATTAAATGTGCTTTGTGAATAAGCTAGCATAAACTGGCTGTTGAATCATGATTTAAAAAACAGTATGTTGATACATACTTTATTACTTGATCTATATCTTTCTTCCACTCTGCTACACACTTTTGCCCATTTCAGTAATTCTATTCTACAAGTATGATAGATATACATTTATAGATGTATATCTGAAAAAAATATATCAAAGAGTTCAATTTATATTCAAGTGCCTAAAAGATATTTTTATCAGCCACACTTTTAGTGTGTACTTTGTACCATTGATTTTTCATGAGCTTTTTTTTCAGATTAAATTTGTATTTAGTTCATGATAAACTAAATTTGTCTTAGGAATAATTGTTATGATATGCATATTAATAATCTACAAGAAATTCTAGCTGTCTTTAAAAAGATATTTTTAAAATTTTTTAAATGGTCAAAATGTGTTTACATAATGCATCTTATTTCTTTAATATTGACTTAAATCTACTCAATCCTATCTTTAAATACAAACCATAATTTTTATCTCAATAATTATATTGAAGAGAGCATTTTTAATTGTGTTTATGAACCCTTTATATAACAAACAAAAATATTCTTCATACCTTTTTCAAATTTCCTTTGATTGTGTGAATATTTTTATATTTTTAAAGATTTTTTTCTGTAATGATTTTGTTTCTTTTAAACTGTATACAATGTGATAATATGTTATCTACCTGACAATAGAATGATTAGAATATCTTAGATTTGTACAACTTTGCATTACCTATATTTAAAACAAAATAACTTTCATTGTACAAATGTAGATTATTGTTTTTACTGATTACACATTTTTAGTATGATTCTTTTAAAGCAGGGGTCTCCAAACTTTTCAGCCCAAGGGCCGCATAAACTATCAAATATAAGTTCGAGGGCCAGTTTCTTCCAGGCATCTCATTGGGGTGGCATTTTTCCTCAGCCACCGACAACAAACATTTTTTTCGGTGGCCGGGGGCCGGATGAGAGGAACTCGCGGGCCGGATGCGGCCCGCGGGCCGTAGTTTGGAGACCCCTGTTTTAAAGAAAAGGATTTTTTTAGACTTAATAAAAACATTATTCTAAGATTCATCTACATAGTTCATACATTAACATTGTTTATTTTAAATTATATACTCTGATACCTAAATTTTGAACTTCTAATAGAGATGTCAATTCAATTTCTTCTTCTTCTTAATTTTTAGTATTTTTAGTACTTATCTGCCACAGGTTTAGAACTCGAGACTTTTTTTTTCAAATTTAACAACCATGAGCTTTGCCGACTCGACCATGCCTCCAACACAATTAAGCGTTACCTGTCAACTGCTTGTGTGCCAATGAGGCAGTTGACTCCGATTTCAGCCTGCTTTTCTTTTTGGATTTGCTTCCATAGTCCTTTGTCCAACCAAGAACAAACAACAAAGCAGCAGTTGTTTGATTTTGGAGTTGTCTCTCCTAGAAGAGTGACTGTCCCCAGCTAACGAGCCTCATCTGCCCGAAGGTTTGACCTCGAGACTTTTTGGTTTAGCAACCTTGAGCTTTACCGACTCAACCACACCTATCCCAATTTAGTTTCAACTGAAGTACTTATGTAACCTCCATAACCATCAGAGGTTTTTAAAATTAAAAAAAAAAGTTAAAACCCAATGGGAGCTGATAATATTTAGTTAATGCTTAATTTATGTAATTTAGATTAGATTGTAATTGCTAATCTATGTTTTTAATTTATTTAAATTATTTTTAATATAAAATTGATATGTATTTTTCATAGAGTCCTAACACACTTTATTTCTGCCAAATTGTTACATCATTTTTATATTGAATAGGTAAATAATTAGCAAGCAATTTTAAAAGCTTAAGTGACACTGCTAGCAATAATAATATGGCTTTTTATACAATAACATAATAATATCATACTTATATATTTTTTAATTTGTTAGTATTCATTTTCCGTTTTAATTTAAGTTACCTAATTATATCTATCTTAATAATACATTCGCTTTCATGGATGAATATTTTGATTTTTAGTAACATTGTCTCATTTTGGCACTTTCATGCATGATCAGTCAATAAAAACTGTCACCAACAAAAATGTTTTCCATTATTTTAAATCCACTTTTAAAATATTCTTTTAATAGTTTATTGTCGACTTACTTAAGATATAAATTCCACCATTAACAAAAAATTACCAGATGGCATCATTTTTATTACCCTACTCTACTGACATAAGAAATATTCACTTCACATACCCTACTTTAGTTTCCAGCTTTTGAACAATAAAGTTTAAGAAAAAACAACAAACAACATAGTTTGTATCCTGCAGTTTCTGATCAGAACTGTTACTATCTAGAAATGGGGATGCAGATCTATTGAAGTGGCTGAAGTAGAGGTAAGAGTTGCTGATGGCCATTTTTTCAGAAGTAAGCAAATAACTGTATTGATGCTGTTCTTTAAACAATGGCCTGTCTTGACTTGATGTGATTGATTGGAAGAGACTGTTTTATCACCGACGTAGTTCGATATTTTGCTTGCATGCCACTTTTCTTAAACATCTTCCCAACAATTAGTATTTTAGATACATAAACCGTTTGAAATCAATGTGTAATAAGTTTAACTAAACATCTAATAGCCATATATAATTGTATAGGCATTTTTATTAATTTTTGTAACACATGTATGCACACATACACACGAAGGCTATATAGACATATTTATTGATATAGGGATCCAATAATTTTTTGTGGAAGGGTGGTGGAGTGGGGTGTGGAAGCCTTTTTCCTAGTCCTGCCGTTGAGTGAAGAACAACTAGGCCTTTAAGTATTAAAAGTAAGTAGTTATAGATTTACGTGCTATGGTTACTTTAGTGTTTTATTTTACTATTTAGGGGAGGCAACAGAGCACTTCAAATTATAGACTATTTGTATTCTTTTAATGTTTGCACAAAGCGAAAACCAGAAGTCAAATGAAATGCAAGCGTCGATATTGCAAGCAATTATATTAAAAAATCTAGGCTAACATTTTAAATATTTAGTGGAGACCTATAGCCTACTAGATAATTACAATATACGAGCCGACCTGCAGCATATCACACACAGCTATTTAGTATTATTTTCTACCTTTCAATAATTAATAATTTGTGAATTCGACAGTACCAATGCTGTCACTGAAAATATTTGCTTTAAAACACTAAAACCCTCCTTTCCCCACCCCCCACCCCCCACCCCCCCGTGAAAGTAGCCTCCTCTTAGTTACCTCCCCTAAGTTAAAAATAATTACAAACTAAATTATCTGCCCCTAATAGACGTCACTAAACCCGGCTGTACGATTGTAAACATTAAGTGTGAACCACAGCTCACCAGACCATGTGAGGGTGTGGGTGGTAGCGGTAAGCCTAGAGAGGAAGAGAGGGGACTGCTAGGCGCGCTTACAGCTTGGTGTTTTCTAACATCTCCAAGAAGAGAATTATATATACTAATATATAGGCCTACAGATTAATTTATAGTTGCAGGCCCTATGAACAATTAGTCTCTGAAGACTAGCCCAAAAGCCCCGCGGTATATACATAACTTTTCAAACGTATTATAATGTTTGCATTATTTATTAGAAGTTAACTTTTATATATCCTACTAAACCTGCGGTATTTTAGTAACTATTTTTAAATAGCAGCCAACTATTAGACCTAGGCCTACATTAACTACGCATAAAATCATGATTGGCCAAATTTACAACATTTCTACAAATTGATCAGGCAAGCCAGTTGGATTTTCATTATGTCAAAAAATCTCAATGTTTATCTTTTTTTTTTAAAAAAAAAGTTCTTTCTTGTCTAGATCTAAACTCAGAATAATAGCATGTTTTATGTAGAACTAGAAATCTAGATCTTCTAGATCTACACACTGAACGTAAATATGTAATGTCACAAAAATAGACCAAATCTAATAATAGTACCGACCGACGAAGTAGGTCAGGCCATTGGCCGACCTGACTGACATAAATTATTAAAAAACAACTCGACTAGATTCTATCCCATCTTTACCCTTATATAACTCACATTTTAAACATCAAAGCTAAGTCCAATGCCTTGTGTCATACATTTAAAAATATTACTTAAAAGCTAGATCTTCTAGATCTAAATGTTTTAGAAAAATCTATGTTCAAGGAAGAGGTAGGTTGGCCTATGGAAAACATTCGTGTGGTGTGGGTAATATCAAATAGTTTTCGAAAATTTCAACGGCCTCCATAGCTCAGTGGTTAGAGCACTGGTCTTGTAAACCAGGGGTCGGGAGTTCGATCCTCCCTGGGGGCTTTATATTTTACCTTTATTGACTAAGAAATTGAGGTTTTAAAAAGAAACAAATACACTTTTAGTTTGGAAAATATAAACAAAGTATTCATAGTCGAACTAAAATTAAAATATAATAATATTATTGCAGCCTTTTTACTCATCCTTCACAACATTCCTTTCAGCATTTATTCTGGGGCCTGTTACCGATGTCTTGCTCAGTACACATGTACTCTTGTAATTCAGATTTTAACCTTGAATGGAAGAATAAAACCCAACTCATAAGTAATCTTATAGGCATCTAACAATATTATCCCATCTAATATATAAAGCTCAATTCTGTAACGCATATGTTTGTCGTTGGCATTTCTACGGATTTAAGTGTTAGATCAATTATCGTGCGCGTTTGTCTAAATTTATGAGTTAAAAAATTACTATTAAAAGTCTTGGGAAATCATTTTCATTTTTCAAATTATAGTAATAATTGTCGGCATGTTCATTAAACACAAGTTTTAAAAAAATATCATCTTTTACAAAAATTCTAATTATGTTTTTATTTAGTCCTATAGCGCTTACTTCCCTTTGATAAATTAGGCAAAACACAATTACTTCCCTTTATAAAACCATAGCATTAGTTGAAAAGCATTTACTTTTTAATTACTTTGTTTTGGTGTTGGGAAAAAAATAATTACATAATTAGCGGGGATTGATCAAGTGCAAATGTTTTAGGTATTTTACGGATAAGCTTGGAGTATTATAATTGTTCATTAAATTGAAACAGGCGCGTTCGTTTAAGTGAGTGCAAAAACTATGAATAAGTTGGGGTACTATAGTCGTTTATTAAGCTAAAACAGGCGATTCTGCCCCGGGCGTTTATGTTCGCGTTAGTGTTTTCTTTGTGTTTAGGTGGGTTTGCGTTAGTGGTTGCGTTTTGATTTGGTTCGTTTTTGTTCTTTCTTTTTTCGTTTTTGTTTGTGTTTTTTTTTGTTTGGGTTTGTATTTGTGTTTTTGGTTGGTTTTGCGTTTGGATTTGGTTTGTTTTCGTTTGCTTTTTCGTTGTTTTTTTTTTGGTATTGGTGTTTGTGGTTGGGTTTGTTGTTAGGTTTTTGTTTTCGTTTGTTTTTTCTTTGTGTTTGTATTGGTGTTTGTGGTTGTGGTTGGGTTTGTTGTTAGGTTTTTGTTTTCGTTTGTATTTCTAATTGTGTTAGCGTTATGTTTGCGTTTTGTTGTTTTGGTTGGTTGTGGTTTGGGTGGGCAATGCCGGGTTTACGATGATTTCTAAACACACAGGTAATGGTCTTTAACGGAAAGGTTTTTCACAGAAGCCAGAGCAGGGCCTGGCCGGGACGGCTAGTATTAGTATATACAGCAGTCCTGTATATAATACCTTGTAGATTGCTTTTATTAAAATCTATTTTTTAAATTACTTAGGCCTAACAGTTTTTTTTTTTTAAGGTTTAGGCCTTATTATGTTTGCACACGCCCCCCCCCCCCCCCCCAGTCTTTATCGTCACAGTTCGTTACAAAAAGCCCGACACCCTAGGGGTCGTCCATAAATGACGTCACACTCGTAGGGGGAGGGGGGGGGGGGCGTAATTTTGTGACGGGTGATGAGGGGGAGAAGGGGGGGGGGTTCAGATGGTATGACGTCACACTTTTGTATCATAAAAAAGCAATGTTAGAAAACCAATTTTGGACTTTATTTCGCGTTTTAGAAAACTGTTTTAATAAATTGTAATAGGAATTGATTAAAATGCTGTATTATGACAGAGTTCAGACAAGATTTTGGAAAAATATCGATGTTTAAACAAATTTCAACAGCAATTTTGAGGGTGGTTGTGTAGGCTGAGGTGTGACGTCATTTTAGGGGGGGGGGTCTGTCTTTTTGTGACGATATAGAGGGGAGAGGTAAAAATCGTCAAAATAAAGCGTGAAGTCAATTATGGATGACCCCCCTACCAATGATTTTACGTGAATTCTGTATTTTAAAAATATAAAACAGCCTCACTCTCCTCGAATCCAAGTCATGAAAGCCTAAACCAACCCCGCCCCTCCCTCCCTATAAGTTATTACACGTCATTTATGGACGACCCTTTACAACTTTTTATAAGTTGTTCAAATTACCCGACAGTTTTTCTTACCGTAAAAACTCCAGACCAGTCTCTGATACACGCAGCAATTCTTCGCGTTGACATTTCAGCTCTGAAATTTTTCTCTTCTCTTTTTCTAACATCTCCACGAGTCCTATTGTTTATTACAGCGAGTTAAAGGTTAGTGGTTTAGTTACGCATTTTGTTTTATTTGGTTAGGACTATAAATTAAAAATCAAACTTTAAAAAAAAAAATGTATAAAAATCAAACTTCTCTCTATAGTCCATTGGCGTGTCCGATTAGCATAAAATTGTTCTAGTAGTGATGGTAGGTAGGCCTACATCTAATTATAAATTTAAAAATGTAGGACCAGATAAGGGGCTATATAAGTTATAACACTCACTTTTGGCATGTAAGAATATCCCACAGTTGTAGATCGTATAGCCCATTTTAAAATTTAAGACGACTCGGGTGCAGTGGCGTAGCTACCGTAAAGCTAGCGTAAGCAAGGCATAGGGGCCCAAGGCAAATAGGGGCCCTTTTTCGAAAGTTTGAGGGGGGGGAGGGTGCAAATCGAAAGTTTGTCCCCGGTCGCCGGGAAGGGTCGCTACGCCTCTGAGGGGCCCACTAACACTGCTCGGGTGATAATGAATCAACGGAGCAAAGCACATTGCCATGATAAAAGACGGTGTAAGGCTAATAGGTCTGACAATAAATAACGTAGCCTACCTCTGTTTTGGTTGTTAAGATCGTTTAACTCAAAATTTGCTTTCTTTCTGCGGTCATTTAGAAGTCTCAACTCCTGTTCTTGCCGTTGCAAGTTTCTGATTTCTGTGAGGACGATGATTGCAAATAATTAAATGTAGCTATTAGAACTAAAAGGAAAATGGGAACTATATTAATCATGTGCTTACATTTTTGAAGATTTCATTTTAGACAATAGGTGCTTACTAGCACATGAATAATATAGTTATTCTTTTCAATAATTTAAAGCATGCCCGAGTTTTTTAACAATTACGTTTATGAAAACCAAGAATCTTTCAATCAAGCACATCTGTGATTCAAAAGGGACCATGAGGATCTTTCCGCCACTTCCAGGAAAGTATTTGCCCTTCACCTGCGGTCAAGGAATACTGATCTAACAGCTGTTAGTTCTAATCTGAACCTGCTCACATCTTCACGAACAAGTTCCAGGTTTGTAAATGTAAACTACTTTTAAAAATTACGAACATCGGCACAACTCTTCAGAATTTCAGACTTTTTATTGGGGGCGGGGGTGTGTTACATTTCGAATTTACAGGGGAGCAGTGGCGTAGGCAGGGGGGGGGTTAGGGGGGTCATAATTCCCCCCCCCCCATAGACCCCTCGGTATATAGAAAAAGTATGAGGGGGGTGTGCAAATCGAAAGTTTGAGGGGGGGGGGGGTGCAAATCGAAAGTTTGAGGGGGGGGGGGGGGGTGCAAATCGAAAGTTTGTCCCCGGGTAAAAATTGGAACCCCCCCCCCCCCTTGAGACGATCCTGGCTACGCCACTGCAGGGGAGGGCCAATCATAAAAATAGTCAACAATTTTTTTTTTCGATTTAAACGTAGCCCGCTGTTTTTTCTATTAGTCCAGAGAAACATTTATCGAATTAGCAATAGAAGATTTTAAAGTTTTATTTAAGAAAAATATTACACAATCTCTTTTCATAAAAATTCTTGCGCAGAAAGTTAATTGGCGAATACCACTGAGGGGTCATTCATAAATGACGTCACGCTTTTTTTGACGATTTTTACCTCCCCCCCTCCCCTCCGTCACACGTCGTCACAAAAAGTCAGACCCCCCCCCCTAAAATGACATCACTCCTCAACCTACAACCCCCCTCAAAATTGCAGTTGAATTTTTTTAAAACATCGATATTTTTCCAAAATCTTGTCTAAACTATTACAATTTATTAAAACAGTTATCTAAAACGCGAAATAACGTCTAAAATTCGTTTTCTAACATTGCTTTTTTATAATGCAAAAATGTGACGTCACAACATCTGAACCCCCCCCCCCCTCCCCCTCATCACACATCGTCACAAAATTACGGACCCCCCCTCCCCCCCTACGAGTGTGACATCATTTATGGATGACCCCTGAGCGCAAAGAAAAAAAATATTCATTCAACAAAAATTAGTTCAGCTGAAAATTCTGTTGTGCTAGATAAAATAAGAGAGCTGACAAACCTGTTGAAAGTTGGCCATTTTTAGATTCCAATGATTTGACTGAAACTTGGGCTTCATAATTCATTTGTTCTGTTAGGCCATGTCGTAAGCCAAACTTGTCTACAAAACTTCGTACACTCACCATGAAAGCTTTAGAATCCTCAAGCTCTTTTTGGTTGATTGCATCCTGGAAACAGATGTACCAGAAATTATGTTGGCAGCACACACTGATTTTAAAGCTGATCAAACGTGGGTTGTTTTTTTTTTTTGTTTAATTATTTTTAAAAAAAATTCGTTCTGAATTTATTATAATAAGGTTAATAGAAATCAGAAAATAAAAAACTAAGTAGATTTGTATGAAGGTTTCCAAATGTTGATTTGATTAAATTGATTGACGTTGGCACAACTGATTTTAAAGTGTTTATGAAGTGGGTATTAATGTATAAACTGTGTCGCTATAAAGATAAGCTTTCTACTCCTACACCATGATGGGTAACTACATCACAAAGTTCGTTTTATGTTTTATATATATATATATATATATATATATATATATATATATATATATATATATATATATATAAAATTAAGGATTTTTAAATATTACGTAGTATGATCAAAATGTAGGTTGATTACGGACTAACCACAAATTGACTTTGTGGTAACTAACTTTTAACAAAAAGTTGAAACATACCAACTTGCGTGTTCTTTGTTGGATTTCTTTATTGAGAGTTTGTAACTCCGCAGACAGTATATCCTCCTTATATTTTACCATAGAAACTGCAGTTTTTTCTTTACACAGTGCCTCATTCTTAAATGAAAAATATAATGCATAGTAATGATTGCTGTATTACCTCCGTGTTCTCGAAAAAAGCCCCCCCCCCCCCCAACGAAATAGAATTTATATAGAAAATATATACTTTTAGCAGTGTCCGCCCCCTGGAAATTTTAGTCTGCCCCCTCACCCTCGGAGAAAAAGGTCTGGAAGAAACACTGCCTCTCACCATTGTCATAAAAAGCTAGACCTCCACCCCTGATGTGTCGTCTCACCTCAGCTTACCCCTACCCCCATCTCAAAGTTGAGGTTTTTGTTTTTTAAACATTGATCTCTTTCGAATTTAGGGGTCATCCATAAATGACGTCACGCTTTTTTGACAATTTTTACCTCCCACCTCTCCCATCCGTCACACATCGTCACAAATAGCCAGACCCTCCCCCCCCTCCTAAAATGTCAAACGTCAGCATACACCCCCCCACCTCAAAATTGCAGTTGGATTTTTCTAAAAACATCGATATTTTACCCAAATCTTGTCTGAACTCTGTCAACATAGAGTATTTTAATAATTCTTATCACAATTTATTTAAACAGTTTTCTAAAACGCGAAATAACGGCTAAAATTTGTTCTCTAACATTGCTTTTTTAAATACGGACCCCTTTCCCCCCACGAGTGTGACGTCATTTATAGACGACCCACTTATTCTCAGTCAACATTTTTGAGTATACTACTGTTCGATTTCGATTACAAATTCCAAAACAGGCTTTTAAAAAACGATTTTTAAAATCTGTCTAAAATTCAATATCTAAATTTACTTTTTAAAATGCAAACTTCTCGTTAAGTTTTTAACCCCCTCCGCTCCCGCCCGTCACACATCTTCATAAATCTCAAAACTCAAAACCCCACCCATCCCCTTCTAGGAGTGTGACGTCGTTTATGGACGACCCATTAGGACCTCAAACAATTTCTGTTACGTTTTATTTTAAGTTAAGAAAATCAACAAATAAAAAATGTAAAAAAAAAGCAAACAAAAAATACAAACAGTTTTGAAACACTCTTTAAAAAAATCAACACAGAAATTAAAAATCTTACTAATGAAACAATTCGTTCATGACATTCAGCTGTAGACACACGAACTTTGTTCAAATCATCACTTTTCTGTTCAATCTTGCATTTAGCTAAATAAGAACAAACACCCCATAATAAATAGATCTAGTAATGGTATATTTTTTGTGTTAAGACTAATACTATTCAGTTTCCTTCAAGCATCTCTTCTGGGGGGGGGGGGGGGGGGGGCGTTCATCCCACCCCAACCACGTCCAACACACCCCAGAAAGAAATAGAAAAACATATAATTTAAATGTACATAGAAAATATATATTTTAATCAGTGTCCACTCCTACCCCCGGAAATTTAAGTCTGCCACCACCCGGAAAAAATGTATGAAAGAAAAACTGATTAGATCTATATATATTTATCAATAGCCACTAACCACGCAACGCCAGGTAGACTATTTACGACCATCATTTTGGGACAAAAAAGCCCCCAAAGCAAAACACTAAGACTTTACGATTAGGGTTACTAGATCTAGATTTTCATAGACTTCTTCCAAAATTAAAAACTTAATTTTTTAAATTAAATAGGAAGTAGATTATAGATCTAGATTCTAGAATCTAATCTAGTCTATGTTTTTTTTAAAATTCGAATTACAAGGAAACTGACGTTTAAGTCACTTTAATTAAGTCAAACCATTAAAATATCACGTTTGCTAAGGCCCTAAAGTTTAGAAAAAACACGAAGCTTGATAACCCCAAGTATCTTAATCACACTGATTGTCTACGAAAGTATAAAATATATGGTTTTATACCTAGATCTAATCTAATCTAGAATCTAACTGATGGGGAGCGGTCGATTTCTGTAGAGTGCAAGCCGGTGCAAATGACGCTGTTTTATTCAGTTATTGTAAAAGTTAAAAATAAGATCACCTTCAAAATATTTTTGCTTTTCATGCTGAGCCTCGTTTTCTGTTTGAATTATAATAGAAAATAAATCATTTAGCGATTGATCCATTATCTAAATGAAAATATTGGAACAGTATTTAAACTAACTTGCTTTTTAGCGTTTTATCTATAGATTTCTGAAATCCACATTAATTTGTTGTCTGCTGCAAACGGAACG